TTTTATCAAGGTTATGCCATAAGAAAGGAACTAGTGTACTGGTAAGCAGTGTACAACTGTTACCAAGAACTCTGTTATGATAGAACCTACTCGACTGCCATCCTGTTATCTCGCTGGCCGGTCGTTCATTGTCAGCCTCCAGTCATCAGTGAAGTAGTATTTTCTCATCAAGTCCTTATCCTTATTAAATTGTTCGCTTATCCATGACCGAGGTTTTATTTGAATTTCAATCTTAGTTTCGTCTGCGTTTATAATTAAATCTTGTTGTCGACTGTCGCTGAATATGCCATTATCTGTTTCACTTCATGATAATAGCCCTCGTTTGTTAAGTTAACATATGTTATGATATGTCATGTCGTATGACAGTTTTATTTGTCATATGTTTCATTATGAAGGTCATGTCATCCGTCCTCGGAATGTGGAAAAAGACCGTCAAAACCCTGCTGCATGCGCAGTTCTGAAGCATTTCTTGGTGACGAATACCCATGGTAGGATGCAGGCACTTCCAATACCCACATTCTGCTTGACGACCAGGTGCACGACACTGATGCACAGCTGGTGAAATGAACTTCGATCACGACGAAGAGCAGTCTTTCGAAATCTTTAGAGTTATTTTCCAAAGACTGAAGAAATGATTTGCTAACACATTCAATAGCTTTAGCCATTTTCCTGATTGTGAGAAACTAATCTTGTTTTGAGGTCAACTGGATATCTACATATAGGGAGGAGGAGTTCTCAATGACATTTGCCTCAGGTGCCGAAGAAAGCTGGAACATTTAACTTTCCACTTTTTTAATACCTGTTTGCTACCTTGTAGCATGCTTGTTAGATTTTTTTCTGTTTACTGCTCCGTTTCACTTTATTGTATTACATCTATTCCTGTACTGTACCATTAAAAATGCAACCATCAATGTGTTCAATTGAATAAAGGGTCAGATGAACAAATGTTTAAGCAAGCACTGGTTTGAGTTTTCTTATGCTGCCTCATTGCTAAATAACAACGATTCTGACAAATTGTCTGTGGTACAATAAAGCAACTGCATTGACTTCATTCAAGCAACGCTGCAACCCATTAGTTGTTTCATGCCCATTGCATGAAATACGATGCAATGGACAGAATACGGTTGACTTTATTACTGAAAGGTGCGCCCAAGACAACGAACCCTGTGTATCCTTTGCCTGCGGGTTATGGGAAGCTTATGTAGCTTGTTCTCGACGCCTCTGTCGAATTTGCTCCTTTCCTAAATCTTCTAACCATCCTGGTACAGAATCAGACTCAGTCCCCTCGTACTTATTACAGAAGACATCGCGTCCGTCACAACTGCCTTTTTTCCCGGAAAATGCTAACATCTGTCATGATCATCACGATAACCATCACCATTATGGGTGGGGCATATAGCAAGATCAACAGAGGACATTTGAGCCTAACAGAGCTGGACCATTAAGGGGAGACATGCGCAGGAGGAGGCGGGGCTGAAGATGAATTTCTGATTTTGCTTCAGAAAACCAGAAACGCTGAAAAAGAAAAAATGAGCGACAATGAGAAATAGGTTAACGAATGGAATGAAAGAGATCTACAGGAGACTAAATTGAGTGGCACCTACTGAATAATTTCATAGGTGATTTTCATTGGGACGTGAAGGTCAAAAGAAAGCTGTGGAGGTAAGTAGGATCTTTTGCAATTGGGCATGCTTAATTGAAAGAAGCTCCGCCCATGATAGGCGGAGCTTCCTTTAATCGAGGCATGCATAAGACGCAAAAGACCTTGCTTACAGCAGAGCGTGCTCTCGGAGGAAGGTGTTTTAGGTCATAACTTTGTGTGATCTGGAAATTCAGTCGAAAGCTGTTGAGGAAGGATGGTCAAATCTCATGGTGGGTGGGGCATGCACGGCGGTGGGTGGAGCTAAGACCGAAAGTCCTGCCTCTGTTCGAAGCGTTGATTTAAGCCCTAGCACACGTAGTCAAACTGGATAAACTATAGAATCGGCTAGCCAGCACAAAATTGAGAAGCTTGTCTCTACCTCACGAGCACAGTTCGACTTCATGCCTCAAAGGTCTACAATGGAAGTGACCTTTAAAGCAAGACAAGTGGGAGGAGCAGAACAGATGTTCAAACTCCTCCAAACTTTTTATCAATGCTGAATTTGGCACAACTGAAGCCCCCTTCCAAAGCACACCGAAGGACATAAGTTTTCCTCCTAGGCGAAGACTCCTTTGCAAATTTTCAAGCATTCATTTTTCCCGCTCGTACACTTTTGGCGTAAAATTATGAACATCGTTCAACCACGGCTAAAACACTTAATGCAACGCTTATTTCGCCAATTTTCCCTGCTGCGGCAACCGGATGAAGCCATAAATGCAAAACGCTCGTAGTACCAACAGTTTTCGCGAAAACACCTTCAGAATAATATTCCTTTTTCTTTGCTACTTGAAAGCTCTCAGTACTCGTTAGCAGTTGGTTGGGTTACAGAAGCTCTAACAAATGGTAAGCGTGTATATATGTTAAATTAATCCGAGATGCTCTTTTCCAAATGTTCTATTGTTATAACTTCATGTGAGTGTTAGGTAGGTTGGTTGGGTAATAACTCCTACTCAGTACGTTACGTTTTGAGTTAAAGATATACTGCTTTACGAACTTCCTGTTCCTCCCTTTTAGAATTGCTCATAGTACCTAGGCCAACCTTCTCGTTTCATGTCTTTTGACTCAAACTACTTGAAGGGAAAAGGTTGAAGAGGTAAAAACTATCGTACGTTGACTCCTTCCTTACTCAGTTCTTCCATGCAGGCTGAGAATAGCTTGCATCCTACTGGTCCTATATGCTGTTTTTTGTGGTCTTGATGCTTTGATTTTAGTTTACTGATAGTTTCGGCATAGCTGCGCTATTTTTTTTTGTAGCATTGCTTGTGCCTGCCGGCTTATTCGGAATTTTTTGAATTTTAGTTGGGCTGTCTTATATTGCCATGACAATATTTTTGTTGTTTTATTGCTATTGAATGCTTTTTCCCTTGCAGGACAATCACGTGGTAAGGGTGTTGTAAGTCATAGGGAATCGGCGGTGCTCGTCCCGTTCGGCAAGAAACTTGCACAGCTTAGCTCGTAGTACATTGTAGGCCTACGAAGTTGTCCCGTGCCATCGCAAAAATGGGCGAGCGGAGGATGGCTAGTATTTTCCCTGAATGCGACCAATTAAAACAGGTGAGCACTATCTAAATGGATGTACTTCTTCGATTATTTGTTTTGCCTAATTCATGTCTTGTTCTCAGAATTACGACAAGTGCTTTACGGAATTTTTTCAAAAGTTTATTGGTTCAAATTATCGTCACAAATATGCGACAAATCCATGTGACAGGCTTCATCAAGCATATCGGGAGTGCGTTGAAGAGGTTTGTTGTACAGAAGTTTGAGTAACTTGAAATGAAATGAAATTGTGTGGCGCTACGTTGTTGAAAGGGAGTGGAAGAAACCGTGATATTTCTCTTTTGAAGAGAATGTGAAAGAATCCCCACCGATAGAGTCAAGCACGATGAGGGTGTCAACAACGTCTAGTGGGGTTTCTTTTTGAGCTTATCCAGATGACAGGTGGTTTGTTACCAAAAGTCAGTTTTTACGGCCTCGTGAGAGTTTCCTTTCTACCTACCCAGTGTACTTCGTACTTCTCTTTTCCAAATAGTCTTAACTTTTTGAACTTTTGCAAACACACAAATGCCGGGGTTGAACACACACATTCATTTAAATTGAAATACTGTGCTCTGTAATTACAAATTTGATGAATTACTACATCCTACATTCATTTTAGAAGCTTGCGACCGCTAAGCCGTTCGAGATCGACATTTCTGAAATTGAGAAAAAATTTCTNAGAGGCTTGCGACCGCTAAACCGTTCGAGATCGACATTTCCGAAATTGAGAAAAAATTTCTGAATACAGAAGACGATAAATTACGGGATAGTCAAGAAGGAAAGTAGTCAATGCTTTGCATAGATGTTTTGTTATTAGATTCTATAATTGTAATTGTACATTGTCACATGTTGTTATCTCATTTATGTGATTAAGCCTTTGAAGTTGCTATGAAATGATGTCGGATTCTTTGCTGATGAAAGTTCTATTCTTAAGCTCTTCATTCTAACAGATGTAGTTCATTACAATATCTCATACTGTTTTGGGTATTTCATAGAATTGATTTCTGGTAGTCAGATTTCCAGGTGTAGTAGATGGAAAGCCTCCAATCTAATTTGCCTCACCCTCAAATTATTTCTGATTCTGGAGAGTCACGATTCAATCAGTTGGAGCGTACCTTGGAACAGTTTCAGGTAATCCATCTTAAGATTTTTCGCGGAAGAGATTTTACGCATCATTCACACTAGAGGTCGATCCAGTTCTGTATACTTTTATTTTAGTTCATGATCAGTGAACAAGTTTACGCCTTTTTGCAGGAAAACGCTCGCCACTTGGGTGTAATTGCGACCGATTTCGGAGCTAGAAGTCAGGAACCTTTCAATCAAAAAATTCACACCTTAATATCTGGCTTGCAGGTACAGCTTCCCCTTTTTTCTCTTGATGGATGAGATAAACCTTCTCCCTACGATTTCGGCTTCATTTATTTTTTCCATTTTCTCTAGGAGCTGGATCAAATGCGAAGTCAGTTTATGGACGTGAAAGTCCCATTAGAGCTACTTGATGTGTTAGATCAAGGTAAAAATCCTCAACTGTATACAAAGGAAGTTCTGGAAAGGACGCTGCAGAAGAATAAAGAGGTGAATTTTGCGAATTAAACTTGACCCAAATACTCAAATGTGGACTCGTTCAGCTGGTGTGGGACTAAGCTTTGGTGAAGTATATTGGGACAGTTTAGTCTTGATTTTGGGTGGTCCGGGGTACAACACAGTTTTTTTTTNCAAAGAATAGCAATGAAACCATTACATAGCAAAAATAGGAAATAGTTTCAAGAAGCATCTCAGGCGATGGGACAGCATCTTAGGAGTAGCTAGTTTTCATGGGTCCAAGCATTTGTTCAAATATTCCTAAACTCAATGTCAGCGGTATAGAACATCTTTTCTGAGTTTCTCATGGGAGGGACCGCATCTCAGACAAATATCGTTTTTTTCTTTTGCTTAATTCCCCATTAGTTTCATCTGTTCGTGAATAAGCTTTGCGGAGTTGAATTTTATGCCACCTATTGCTGAGTTTGTTTTCAGGTTAACGGTAAGGTTGAGACCTATAAGAAGTTCCATGCTGCTTTACTGAAAGAGCTCGGAGAGGAAATGCCTGAAGACACTATGACTTATCGAAATATCAGAGATATCATGGATAAATGATTCTCGCGTGGGCCTTTGATTGTGCAAAGGTTTTCATATTTGTACATAGTTCTGCTTGTACAGTTCAGAATTGAAGCGCATTTATTTTATTGCCGATAAAACGTTCTATACTGAAGATTTCCGTGCAACGTGGTTTAGCCAGTCTCCCTACTCTTTTTATGATCCATTTCATGTTTATGTGTACAGTTAACTTCATTTAGACCTATGTCCATTTGGGCTAATCCGGTTTTTCGGCCCCAGAATGGAGTATCAGCCGCACTGATTCGATTTGTTCCCCACTTCGTAGGACTACGGTTAAGCTGGACTCAGAACTCTCTGCGAAGTGAAGGTATCGAGCAATTTGTGGAGGAGTACCTTCCGATCATAAGGTGGGTTAGGCACTTTTTTTTTGCTTGGAGTCGCGATGTCGCGTTAGGCTGTAGGTCTCACAAATTAACTTTATGCTGCTGGTTTTTGTTCCTATGTAAAGGCATCTTGAGCGAAAGCATATAGTTCAAGTAGCGATATCCTTAGCACACAAATTTGGAAGCGATGGATACCAAATGCTGTCTGTAACACGTAGACTTCAGGTTCCTTTGAAGTTTGCTCGATATCCATTTGCTGCAACTGTTTATCTAAGATTTTTTTGAGCAGCGCAGTGTATTATTCTGTACCTTGCGATATTACAATTGAAGCTTGCAGTTGGAATTTTTTTGTAGCTTTACTGTGTTTAGGGAGAACAATCCACAAATCCAATATTTCCTTCACAGGACCTACACTGAATGTGATCCTTTCGTTGTTGGAGAGTAAGTGTAGTCTGTTCTGCTCTTCTTCTTTATTCTTTACTCTGCGTCCAAATTTTCTTCGTTCAAAGTTATTATGTTGTTTTTGAATGTAAATACAATAAGTATTGACTTTGTATATTTTTTAGATAACCTTGCATTTTCTACTATTCTCTACCTTTGTTTACCTCGGGGTGATCATTCACGTTATTGCAAGATTTCACTAGTAGTGGATAATACATATTTTCATCACGTACTCTTTTTAAGGTACAAATTCCATCGATATCGTAAGAAACGTGTGTCTTGGAGATCAAAGCATCAAGTATTATCAATGGTAGAGGAAATGGCAATTGGAGGCGATTATCGTCCAGGTTATTTTCTTTTCTGAATGTTGTCGTGAAAATGCGGAATAAATTGTCTTGGCACTTCTGTTCATTATCTTAAGGGCTGAAACGTGGCGTCAATAGACGTCTACCGCGTGGTTTAGAGTTATGGGATACGGAGACCATGGGGCATGATGTTTTCAAGGTATTCTTTCAATGTTATATTCATCCTTAGTATTATATGTTGGCATAAGCGGCTAACGCATTTTTTGTAGGTGCACAGTAAATGGAAGGCTGATGAGGAGGACATGGAGATGCCCACGTCTCAGAAACATCCTAATTTTGTATATAGGAAATACTGAAGTAATCTCGTTGTATAGGTGATAGGATTGTTATATTGTTGATTCGACCATGTGTTCTTCGAATAAAAGCTACTCTGGCTTTCGCATTGCGAAGTGGACAAGCATAGGGAAATCTTCGTTCCCCCAAATTCTTCTGTAGAAAGGGAGCTTCATATTTCGAGTGGACATGGCAGTGCGATTACACAATTCCAATCGTTTCGGTGAATGCGAAGTCTCAAGGTGACATTGAGTGGGCGATGTCTTACGTAGTCACATATCGTCCTCGAATGCGCGTGACGGATTTACTCGGTAAGTTTAATTAAATGTATGAATATGAAAACCCTATTATTTCCATGGGTGATTTTCAAACGGAATTGGGGAGAGCAGCTTCGGTAGGTTGGGAACTACTTCATTTCACATTTCAGACCAGAAATATGTGTGAGATGAGAATAAACACTAAGAGGGAAGGTAAAGTACCTGCAAGATCTTATCACATGTTTTACACCCTGTTTTCAGTTAGGAAGGTGGTTCTGTTCGGATTACTAGGACTTTTTCCCGAAACACCCTTGAACTCGATACCAATTAGCAAAAATAATGAACAACTGCTTTCTTTTTTTGAGATGGTGAATAAGTGAGTTTGGGTAGACTTTATTTGGAATTCGGAATGAACCATTTTTTCATTATATGTTCAGGATCCATATATAGTAGGGATATTGAGGACCTTTAAAAGTATTATGCCAATTACTGATAGTAATTTCTGAAATTTTCTTGGTCTATTGCTAAAGAACCGACTCCTGAAAAGTGGAAAACTTAAAGGGTTCGAGCGGCGCAAAAAAAGGTCGTGGTCTGTAGATAAAGTGTAATAGCAGCGCTATTCACCTCTATTCCAAGTCAACCTGTTTTCAGATAATAATTACTATTAGGTTGATGCATAATTATTGCGGATTTTTTCGCGGCTTTTTTTCTCTCGATAGAATTCGAATATTTAGTTCGGGTTTTTTCTAGAAATGATCTACTTGATTTCCTCTACAAGA